GCCGCGCGTGACGTGGGTAGGTTGTGTTGAGGACTTAGAAGTTACAGGCAAGCTGGGCTTTAACAGGTGGAGCAGAAGGTAAGTCCATTTGAAGTAGAAGGAACATTGTGACACAGCCAAAACAACGGAAGATAAGTTCACGGACTGAGGAGTCTGCTGGACCGTAGGGGTCAGGCTGGGGCTGCATCGCACAGGGTCTTGGAGACCAAACCTGAGAAGCTGGGCCCATCCTTGCTCAGGGGAGACGCCGTCAGGTGTTGTGAAATCCATTTGACGAGCTCTGATGTAAAAACTTAGTAAACTGCAGTGAACAGTTTTAAAGAGCTTTAGCGATGCATCAGCATTAATTTTAAAAGCCCCACAATTAATTTAATTATTGAGAATCAGGGTGAAACTGTGTATGGAAAGCAGGGAAGCATTAGAGGAATCAGATTCCCATTTTTGGGGAACACAGATGTGCTACTTGGCATTTAGATTGCCAGAATCTCTTAGCGCGACTAGGGCCGGCTTACCCTTTTCAAAAATCATTTTTATAGGGCTTCCCTGGTGGCGCAGTGGTTGAGAGTCCGCCTGCCGATGCAGGGGACACGGGTTCGGGCCCTGGTCCGGGAAGATCCCACATGCCGCGGAGCAGCTGGGCCCGTGAGCCATGGCCCCTGAGCCTGCGCATCCAGAGCCTGTGCTCCGCAACGGGAGAGGCCACAACAGTGAGAGGCCCGCGTACCGCAAAAAAATCATTTTTATATTAGACTTTTATTTTCCTCTCTACTTAGCTGATTATCACATTTGGTTGTTTGAAAATCCTATTAAGGGCTTCTCTGGTGGTGCAGTGGTTAGGAATCTGCCTGCCAATGCAGGGGACATGGGTTCGAGCCCTGGTCTGGGAAGGTCCCACATGCCGTGGAGCAACTAAGCCCGTGCGCCACAACTACTGAGCCTGCTCTCTAGAGCCCATGAGCCACAACTACTGAAGCCTGTGCACCTAGAGCCCATGCTCCGCAACAAGAGAAGCCACCGCAGTGAAAAGCCCACGCACCGCAACGAAGAGTAGCCCCCACTCGCTGCAACTAGAGAAAGCCCGTGCTCAGCAACAAAGACCCAGTGCAGCCAAAAGTAAATAAATAAATTTATAAAAAAAAGAAAATCCTATTAAAATATAAAATTTTTAATTGGTAACAGTTTGAGCAAATTGCGTTATCAGTTGAAAGAAATTTTCAGAGGCACTCAAGGGCCCTAGAGTTTTTCCCTTAGCAGTAGACTGCGCCAGTCCTCTTTCAGCCTGTTGGTGGTTCGTTGGTGACACACTGTGCCTTCTGTAATTGAGGAGTTTACTGAGCAGAGTCTTAAATTGCCCCTCAAACACTCCGTGCACATGGTGCTAAGAAAGCCAAGTTTAGAAGGTTTCGTCCCTGCAGAGGCTGCAGTCAAACCGCAGCAGCAGGCAGGGCTGCTGATCTGGGGACGCTGAGACGTCCCCCGCTAAGGTGCTGTGAGCACGTCTTGTCCACTTTAGGGAGTTCTGTCGGGTCTCTGGAGGGTGGAATTGTGACTCCCTCCATGACGTGTGGACCTGTCAACAGTTTGTGTGGCTGAAATTAAAACTAACTCATTCTCTGCTTCTGGTCTGTCAGTAGAGAGTGGAAAATTAAAGCTCTTATTCTTTTTAGCTCTTCATAGCAAGTCTGGTTAGTCCACGCACTTGCGGGAGTTCCCTGGTGGCCTAGTGGTTAGGATTGAGCACTTCCACTGCCGAGCGCCCAGGTTCAGCCCCTGGTCAGGGAACTGAGATCCTGCAAGCCGTGCGGCGTGGCCAAAAAATGAAAAGAACAAAAACAAAAAAAACATGCCCTTGTGAGGAAAGCGCTATCTGTTAGCCCCATCTTGTAGCTAAGAATGTTGAGGCTCAGAGAGGGTTAAGGACCTGAGCTGACGAAAAGTCAGTCTGTCCAGTTGGTCCTGCAGCTTCGCCCACTGAAGCCACTAGGAGGCTTTTTTGCTTCACTCCAAGTATTTTCCTTCGCATCTGGTTGTTTTATTAATACCTTCTTGTGCAGAAGTGAAGGCACTTTTCACCTTGAACTCTTCAGGTCCCCTTTGCCGCTGGACGGCTGCTTCCCTGGGTTTTTCCCTCACGTGACATCAGCAGTGTATCCTCAGGATGACCTGAGGTCAGCACACATCACCACCCCACCCTCTGCGTCCCTGGCCTGTCCGTCTTCGGTACCTGAGAGAGTCAGTGCTGTGCAGGCATTTCCTTGTGTTTTGTGTGCAGAGGCCTTGAAGCCCCTTTAGTAACTAACTTGGAGCATTTAGGGGCTGTTTAAGAGCTTGTAGGTAGCAGGTTAGAGAAGTTATTGTGGGGAAGCAGGATTTTCTCTGTTCCTGAAAGAACAGTCATTACATTGAGTGTTAAAGTTACGCCCTGCTTCTGTTGTGTTGCCATCAGTCTGATTGCTGCTCCTTTGGAAGTTAATGTCTCTCTTCCCTCTGGCTGGTTTTCTCTTTGCTTTTGATTTTTAGCCTCTTACCTATGATGTGCTGGGTGTGGTTTTCTTTGTATTTTTCCTGCCTGGGTTCTATCTGATGCTTTTGATAGATTCAGATTTTCTATTGAAAGTCGCCTATTTGAACATGATTTGGAAAATGCCTTTGGAAAAATTCCAGAATTTTGTAGCTCAGTTCATATCTTTCTTTTCTCTCAAGAATTGTAGTTCCCTGAATCCTGCCTGTGTGCTGCCCGCCAGTGCTTTCTAACGGGGATTTGTATGTTTTGTCCAACTCGTGCGGTTGTTTTCAGCTACTTCATCATGGCCAAACCAGAACTTTCCGGAGTGGCTTTTCAACAGCTGTGGTCACTTAGGGTTACGTGAATGATCCTGATGAATGATTTTAATACTGGTTTTCTCTGCTAAATCTGTTATTTTGGAGGAAACAGTAAGCAGTTTGTGGTTTTAAAAGTGCCCCCACTCCCTGCCTACTCCAGCCAGTTAGAAAAACAAGCTAAGCAGATATTTAATGTGTTTCAGAATCCGTTCATCCATGACTTTCCCCCATATTCTTTTATGATATTTTCTAGGCCCACAGTCAAGGATTCCCAGAGCATCGTCAAGGTAGAAATAGACCATTCACACCGGCACACCGTCCCTGAATGCCATTTAGTTACACAAACAGTGTGAATATTTTTGTGATTCTTGATACAAGCTGTGGTTCAGAAACCATTTTACCAGTTTGTGGATGCCACTTAGTTACTGTCTGGCTCTCGTGCCCGTGGGTTGGCTCTGCTCACCTCCTCTTCCTAGTTTCCTGCCAGTTTGTTCAACAGATTGATGGAGTCCCTGCCGTACTCAGGACAGTGCTGGACTCGGCTAAGACAAGTGTGGAAAATGACTAATGAGACTCCCCCTCACCCACCAGCCGTCCCTCTGCCCTTGTGCAGGTGAACCAGGCACCTGCATAAGTCATTCTAAATAGAGGCAAAATGAGTCACAGTAAAGGCAGAAACAGGTGCCGAGTTATTACTTCTACTCTGACTTGAAGCTCTAGTTTCCTAAAATCCTCTCTTTTCATTATTAAGTTAACAAGGGGTTTCGGAGTATAGTGGGTGAGAAAATAACCCTTTTCTTTCTTAGTAAAAAAGATAAACTGTACCACAGAATAAGAAAAATTTTTAAGAGATACACTTCCACTGCCTCAGCTCCATAATATAGAAGTTTAATTTTTTTGCTTGTTTCTCTTTGATCTTTTCTGTGTAAATACAGGTTTTATATAATTATAATGCATAATTTTATAGTCTGCATTTTCACTGCCGTAAACCTTTTTTTTTTTACTTCAACATAATCTTCACAGTTATACTGTTTGATGCTTTTTTCTCACTGGTATACCAACATTTAACAAGTTTTGTTGGAGGCAGATCTTTCTCCAGTTTTCAGTGTTAGAAATAATGCCACATAATTGAACATCTCTGATTCAGGAATCCCACTCCTAAAATTTTTGTATGAGTAAGTAATTCAACAGAGGAAAAGCTAGTACACAAACAGTATGAATATTCTTGTGATTCTCGATACAAGCTGTGGCTCAAAAACTATTCTAACAATTCATGGAGCCACCAGTGGTTTTACAACTGCACTTGTGTCGGGCGCTATAACGAAAACATACTGGCTTATTTAGCAGCTATAAATGGTACTTTAAATTTGCTTTAATTTTCATTTCTTTGATTATCAGTAAAATTGAACCATTTTCCATATGTTATTTGCTGTCTGTATTTAGAGGTCATTTTCAGCATTGAGCTTTTGGCTTTTAATAAATCATCACCCCTGCTGCCTGTCACGGTGTCCCGGAGGGTGTTTGTCCCGAGGGCTCAGGGAGACACCATATGTGAACTACTCTGAACAGGGCCCAGCCCATAATAGGCACACAGTGAATGTCTGTCTCAAGAAGATATAAAAGTAGGAATATATTACATCTTTCATTCCTTCTCTTTCTCAACCTCAGGGAAATGAAGGGGGAATGCTTGTTGTTTTGTTATTGAACATATGAAAAACAAATTTTCATTTCAAGTACTTTGATAGAACTTCAGTATTTCTGAATGAACTAATAACCACATATAGGAAAGAGCAAACTCGGAAGTTTGGGGAATTCCCTGGAGGTCCAGTGGTTAGGAGTCGGCGCTTTCACTGCCGAGGGCCCGGGTTCAGTCCCCGGTTGGGGAAGTAAGAGTCCACAAGCTGTGTGGCGTGGCCCGAAAAAAACAGAGCTTTGAAGTTTAATTCTTCTGTGTGGTTTTAATTACATAAAGTCTCTCTGATTGCATTGTTTCAGTTTGAAAAAATAATCTCCAATCCCTATATACCTTTCAATATAATACAAAAGCACATTGCTAATGTTAATAAATTCAGTTATTTTTAACTGGTAAGATTTGGTTGAGTGTTTCAGTGGAAGGTATTTTTCTCCCTGCATATATATAGACTAAAAATGCATGTTGTCTCTCTCATTGGTCTTAGGTTAAAAAGGCCTTCTTTGCCCTAGTAGCCAACGGTGTCCGAGCAGCGCCTCTGTGGGAGAGTAAAAGACAAAGTTTTGTAGGTAAGCGGCAGGGGCCGGGGATCTGAAAGCCTGAGTTAGCTCAAGAAGTGCTGGTTTGGAGTGCAGCCTAGTAGACATGTTACCAATCGAAGGACAGCCTTGCTTTTACATCCTGTGCGGTGGGACTGCGAGTGAATTCAAAACATTTATGCACCTGTGCGGAGTTTCTTTGGATTCAGCGCCGTTTTGGCTCTGAAGCCTCCTCGGTGCCCTTTCCCCTGGTCCCAAGGCTGAGGCCCGACCCCTCCCTATCGGTCCCTCCGCTTGCGGTCCTGCCGCGGGCCATCCCCGCTCCCTCCCCGGTGAGCACTTTTCTGACACAGCAGATGAAACGATGGAAACGTGATTGGTAAAAAGCGTTGTTACGCTATTAAAGCGTTGTTACGCTATTAAAAATACCACGTAACTCACAGTATTTAAGCTGCATAATTTTCTCATCTTATGAATCACAGTGGACAATGGGTGTCGTCCCTCTTAGGAGGCATCGCATCATTCGGAAATGGCACTCGGTGTCCGCCGCCCCTCGGGCTGCAGCTGCCTCAGGGGAGAGGTTCACGCCTTCATCTCTGTAGTCCTGGTGTCCGGCACACAGTGGGCCCTTCGTAAATTGTGCCTGTGAAAGGCACTGTTTTTAGGAGGATTCTCAGAAAACAATCCAAGTGCTACCAAAAGTGTCATGTTTCTAGAGCTTATGGGATACTTTATCTTATTTTAAAGTATCCTAAATTATTTACATGTAGCCACAAGCCTTTTGTGATGTTTAATAACATTCAGAAAGTTTTCTCTTGGTGAATTGCCAACTACTGTGATTAATTCCATTAATTACTATCAGGTTTAATTTCAGCTAAATTTGTATATCTTAGCGTGGTGTAGATAATTAACAGATGAACAGTTTTAAATAATAGATTAAGCTGTGCTGGTAGTCTTTAAGGCTGTCTAGTAAATAAATACTCCAGGTTTGCTTATCATCTGAAATTTTTCTTTAATGTTTTCATAGTTTTACATTTAATATGTAATTCTTTCTTCCAGGAATGCTAACAATTACAGATTTCATTAATATACTTCATAGATACTATAAGTCACCCATGGTAAGTGCCAGAAATCCTTATGTCGAGTAAGTGGAGCTATATATTTCTCTGTACGTGTTTAGAGCTCTGTGTGTGTGTGTGTGTGTGTGTGTGTTTTTAAGATTTTGTGTTTTTCTTTTTTGGTACTGGCTTGGTGGTGCCGGTGGTTGATTTTTCCAAATATATATAATGTGCAGGAAACCTCAGTGTAAATCAGTCTGATATTTGAAGCTTAAGGAGGTAGTCTCAGGAAGTATGAAAGGCAATAGCCTCTTTCTTCAGCTTTCAGGAGTCCTCAGGTTAGTGGGATTCTGTGTGCTTATTTATTGCCTGGATAGTCTATACGTTCCATTATATTTCTGCTCTTTAACGGCATTATGGGCATGCCGTAGTGTTGAGATCTGCTTGGACCCGTGAATGAAGGAGGCCCCTCGCACCCTTCCAGACCAGGGGTGGCTGTGCCCGGTGAAGCCCACAGTGGAGATGAGAACAACACAGGCCTGACTCCCGGGCCTTATGCAGTTACCCCTGAAATTTTATAAAAGAAATACACGGACTCTGTGCTTCTAAAGAAGTAAAAATTAAAATTGGAGAAATTCAGTTTTGACATTTTTCTGCCACTTAAGAAAAGACTGCTACTGGCTAATTTTAGTGGCAGATCCCTGGTTCCTGGTCCAACTGTTTTATAAGAGCATAGTTTGAAAACTACACATGGCCTTTATCTAACACTGTGATTTTTGTGATTCTACCAGCTTGTTTGGTGTTTGGTTTTTGTTGGTTTTTTTGAGTTGGTGTTTTTTTTGTTTGTTTGTTTTTTTGGCAAGGTTGGAGAAGGACAGAATTGTATACTTTCTTTATCTAGTACTGTTTTGGGTATCTAATAGGTAAAAGGCAATCCAGTTAATACTGTTTTTACATGTAATGGTCAGTATTGCCCAATAATTAAATTCCTACACAAAATGGAAAAATAAGCTTCTGCTTAAGACATACTCTTAGAAGGAAGTTTTACCAAAGACTTCATAAGTATTCCATATTTATTTCACATGACATACCTGATTTCTTTTTTTTTTTTTTTTTGCGGTACGCGGGCCTCTCACTGTTGCGGCCTCTCCCGTTGCGGAGCACAGGCTCCGGACGCGCAGGCTCAGCGGCCATGGCTCACGGGCCCAGCCGCTCCGCGGCATGTGGGATCTTCCCGGACCAGGGCACGAACCCGCGTCAACTGCTTCGGCAGGCAGACTCTCAACCACTGCGCCACCAGGGAAGCCCTACCTTTTTTTTAACTATTAAATTCTGTGCTTGAGCGGTGGTTGCTTCTTCCCTGCCACCTACAGAGCCTGCCGTGGTGGCACATCTTGTTTCTCCTCTCCTGCCTACTCAGTTCTTTCTTTTCTCCCTCCTGACCCCTCTGCTCGTCTCCCTGTGGCTTCTCTTCTTTGGAAATCTGAGTCCACTTCCTCCACGTGCACGTTCTCCTTCAGGTCCTTGGTCCTTGCAGTTGAAATTCAGGTCTTTCAGAATCCTCCTGGAGAACTGCCTCAGTGATGGAGAGCCCTGTGCCATCTCCCTGGAGCAGAATTAGTCACTATTTCAGCGCCCCCATTAACTACCCACACAGCACTTTTCATACTGTATTCTGATTAGTTGCAGGGCAGTGTTTCTCAGCTGGGAGTGACGTTGCCTCCCAGGGGACATTTGACAACATCTAGAGACATTTTTTATCATAGCTGGCGGAAGGGTGGGGCAGTTCTACTGGCGTCTAGCGGGCAGAGGCCAGGGATGCTGCTAAATGCCCTACAGTGCCCAGGACGGCCCTACCTCAGAAGCATCCAGCCTAAAGTGTCAGTAGCGCCAAGGTCGAGAAAGGCTGTCATGGGGTATCTGAGGTTCCTTCTTGTTAGGTAGTTCTTTGAGGTGGAGACTGTATCTTACTCACGTTTGTACCTTACACACACACACCCCTTCCCATCTTGCCAGCGCCGAACACCCCCAGTACCTAAGGGACCCCCGTGTGAGCTGAGTCATGGCCATGCTGGTGAGGCGGGCGTGCAGGCAGAGCACGGGCATCACCTCAGAACCGCCTAAGTGAGACGTAGACCAGGATTGTTCTACTTCCAGCTGCGAAAACCAGAGCCTCATCTTCCTCAGTTACGCTTTTTCTCTGTCGTGGATGTTGTTCAGTCACCTGGCACCAAAATGGGGGGGGCGGGGCGCGGGTTCTCACTTAGTCATTCGTCTCTAGTTCCCCTGTTTTATTATTCTCTAAACCTTTTGGTTCTTCCTTTCAGTTGCCCCTACACTCCCACAGTCACCGTTCGAGACCTAACTGTCCTGACACTCGGTTTTGCATCTGGCTCTGGTGCTGTCACGTCGTCCCACTGCTTAAACCCATCAGTGCTGGCCTGGCTTTCTCTCCCAGACACGGAGCCCACCTCGGGTCATCAGTCCCCAGACTCCTCGCTCCTGTCCCCCAGCACCGTCTCCTTTCTGTGTTTCGGGAACGTGAGGAAGTCCTTTTCCTCTCCAGGCCCTTACGAGTTTATCTTCTTTTATGTAAAGTCCATTCATCATGCAGAGCCTGGCTGAAATCTACCTCCTGAAGTTTTCCTTGCCTGACCTCTGACCTCTGCTCATCCCTACTCTCCCTGCATCCCTGCACTAAATAAGCCTTTTAGAGTATGCTCTGATATGTACGCCTTCTTGTTGGTGGTTTCTTGCCAGTTGTTGGTAGCATTTCAGTATCGGACTGTCTTAATGTTGCCAAGTGGATTTTAAGCTTCAAGAAGCTTCAGGAAGAGGCCAGGTTTTCCTACTGCAGGGCCCCCAGGAGTCCCAGTGCAACACTGCAGGAGGCAGAGTGACTTTCTTAAGCTGAGCCGCAGTGGAGGCTGCAGCAGGTGGGAAGGCCCTCCGCCTCAGGCTCACAAACACATGGTCCTCACAGAAGCTGAATGTGGAGGGCCTTCTCTCCAGCTGTTTAGGAAGGGAAACAGATTCAGAGACCTTAAGTACTTTGACCAAAAGCGGCAGCCAAGATGCAGTGATGTGAGTGCTTGACGACTCCAGGTGACTAAGTGCTGTACCCACTGCCCAGCCTCCAGGCTCTCCAGACTCAACGCCCTCTCTACCTTTGTGAAGACACCCATGTGGTCCAGGCATAACCTGATCCAGCAACTTAATTAGCACATGATTTAACCAACTGCCCTTTTAAAATTAGAGATGCTAAAAATCTTATGTATCCTCAGAAAGAAGGAATGTGTGTATATGTGCGTGTGTGTGTGTGTGGGGGGGGGGTGTTCTAAAATTTAAGTGTATCCGAAATTTTCAAATTAAATTAATGAAAATATTGTTGGTTTATGTTTTAAATTTATAAAGCATTTGTCTTCAATGAAAGGTAGAGCACTTTTTGTCTCTCATTTATATTCTAATATTTCTGAATTATCTTGATTGTTTCCATCTGCTGAATTATGGGACTCAGCAGTAGTTATGAAATAGTAATTTCTTTTTTTTCCCTTATGTTGTGTGTGTTAACATTTGTAAATAAGAGTTTTTCTTATTTCTAGGTACAGATTTATGAATTAGAGGAACATAAGATTGAAACATGGAGGGGTAAGCACTGTTGAGTGTTAAAAACCTTTTAATATGAGGAAAAACATGTTCTACATATGTATAAAATGTTTTAATTTCACAGGTCCTCTTCTCTCTGCTTAATAACTGACTACATTAAGACATTTCTTTCTATATTAATTTTGATAGTATGCCATACTACTATAAATATTACCCACTCTGTTTAGTACACATGTATAGAGAACCTATAACAAGTCTTTAGACTAAGGCTGGGATATAGATGGGATACAGTAACTAGTGCCCGAGTCTCTGGCCCCCAGTCGAGCCACCATTCACCTCTAAGTATTACCTTCCAAATCTTCGCCTTTGTATAGAAAATGCACCAAAGGAATGCCTGAAATTAACAAAAGCAAGGATCTGTTCCTATTTAAATTCAATCATTATTTCTTTACATTATTATTATTTCTTTACAAATTATGGAGACAAGTAGAACAAGTGAAACTTAAACTAGATGATTTGGATAAAATCACACGAAAATAACTTCAAGATTGCTTGCTTTCGTTTGCAGTATTGAAATTCACCCTTTATAATCACAATACCCTTTTCTGAAATGGAGCCACTTTTTAAATTGTAATTTCATGATTGTGAAATTGTTCAGTCTTAATGAGACCCAGCCTGCTGAGTTGGTACAGAGGGGGCAGAGGACCAACCAGTAAGAATATCCTCGATGGAGCCTGTGATGGGGATCCCTGAGGAAGAAGCCTCTGTAGGGTGTTCGGGGAAAGCCTGCATTAGACACTGAGGGGCCAACTCAACTCAAGGAAACTTTTTCATTTAAACCTGAGGTTTAGCTTTGTGTTCCCGTTATCTGCTTGGTGTGACAAGCACCCCTGTGACTGGCTGCAAGATCTGAACATCCGTTAGGATGCTCTAAAGAGAGCTGGGCCTCCTTTAATCCCATATGATTTAGAGGTTTCATTGAACGATGTATTTGATTGATGATAGCTTTATCAAGTCAGACCAAACAAAGTCAGTCAACATGGGATCCACATTTTAGCACTGCCTATCATGCAGTGCATATATATATTTTAACACCAAGACAGATACTTTGTAATAAATTCTATTGTATAAGTAATGTCAGACCAAGGTTTAAGTGTATTTACATTTTGATACATGGTATTTGGTAGTAATAATAATAATAATAATGTTGAGATTTTCTTGAATGCCTTCTGTGTAGAAACCTCAGTAAAGCAAATTACAGTTTATCTTTACAAAGATAATGTCTGCATACTAGAAAGATCCCCAGATACAGTAGATCAAGCTTTGGTGTCGAAAATAAAACTTAATAACATTAAAGAACAAAGTTTGTTATAACTTTTACCTTTTAACTTGTGAAAATTAGTTTTAAAGGATTTCATAGTCTTCCTTTGTTGAGGGTGATAGTGACTTGGTAACATTCTAGTGACCTCTGCTGGTATTGCTCTTTTATCAGATTTCTTGACTTTTCTTCTGACTTTTACAACATCTATTGTAATACTGTTTTTAAATACTTAACTTTTCCACAAAGGCAACATCCTGAAACAGTTTGGAAGTTGTTTAATAATAGCCATGACTATAAGTAACACAATAGTGTTCAGTAAATTAATTCGATTTGGGTTTTTAATCCTTCTAATTATTACCTGTAAATTGAAGGGTATTTTAATTTATGTAATAATTACAAACAGCAAATACGTTACTAATTACATATTTTCTTTCTATAAATACAGAGCTTTATTTACAAGAAACGTTTAAGCCTTTAGTGAATATATCTCCAGATGCAAGGTAAACTTGTCAAGTTTTTCTCCTTTGAAAACATTCCATTCATTCAGATTCATCTGTTTTGTTACCATGGGTGATAGATTTTTTTTGTTTTAATCTAGATAGGGGCCAGCCTCCTTAATATTAAATTCAGTAAACTCAGAGACAGTAGAAATCACAGCCATTGTTGGTCCAAAGGACTGAGAATGAACTAGGAAGATGGTCATACTGAGCAGTTTGAAAGTCCAGATCACCTGCAGCAGAAACCCACTAGGGAGCTCATTAAAGCTGCAGATTTCTGGGCTCTTCTCCCAGTCAGTCTTTGGACGGTTTTAGTGCCCTGGAATGTGCATTAAAAGAACTCCCCCAGGGGTCCCAACGTGCACTGAAGTTGAAAAATCAGTCTCCTTAGGCACTGGTCCAGAGGTGGTCAGAGGATGGGGCTGCCCACAAGTGTTGACCCAAGCCTTCTGGGACAGCTCGGATACATTTTCAGAAATAAAAGCATTCTTAAAACTAGTGCACTAGTGAGCAAAAGTGGAATATTGATTTTTATTATTTTATTTCCAAGTCCTAAAAAACAGCTCCACCCAGCACACCTCCTCGTCGGCAGTCACAGGAGAGGCTGGAGCAGCCAGCAGTAGGCAGGCTGAGCACAGAAGTGGCCAGTGCAGGGGGCCCCCGGCCACAGTGCCCTCTGTTGCCAGGGTCGTCCATTAGCTTCCCGAGGGGTTAGCTTCTGTCATTTCTCAAATAAAAGCATCAAACCTGCTACTAAAAAACTGCTCTCCTAGAGATTTTTGTAGTCCACACTTGGATTTGAGGCTTATTAACAGATTACGGAAAACCGAAAATTTTGCTGAGATCTCCAGTTTAAAACTTTTCTAGAACACTGTTTTAGGTCAGTCAACCTTTTAAGATTGTAATTTAAAGACACAAAGTACGTTTAAAGCAGGGGTGGTCCAAAGTTTTCTAATTCTTCTTTAAAGCCTCCTAACAACTGTAATGGCTTTTCCCACAGCCTCTTCGATGCTGTACACTCGTTGATCAAAAATAAAATCCACAGATTGCCAGTTATTGACCCTATCAGTGGGAATGCACTTTATATACTTACCCACAAAAGAATCCTCAAGTTTCTCCAGCTTTTTGTAAGTAGTTTTTAGTGTTTCTAAAGACATAGCTGCATCTACTTTAATTTACTTCAAGTAAATTGGCTCCTGTTACCCTCATAGAAGAAATCGTTAGTTTTGAGGTCTCCATTTCTAAACTTCAGTTTCTTAACTCACTACTATTTGAACTGTACATTCTCAAAGTTGATTCCATTTAAAAAGTAATCACCTTTCAGTGCAAGTAAAAACACTTGGAATTCTCTATTTAAGTGAGAATATTTTATCACCTAAAATGAGGAGAAGCAAAGCAGTTTGCGAGTCAGTCTGATTAAGGAAGTACTTACCCAAGATAGCTTGAGCCAGACTGCCTTATGATGCTTTACTGGTGTCATGGTTGGGGACATGCTCAGAAGTCCTGGCCCCAGGATGGTCTTATTATTAACTGCAGCAGTGATAGAAAAGCCCAAAGCAAATAAAATTTTGACAACAGAATACCATGTTGGTCCAAATCAGGGCTATATTGTCTGTAGGTTTTCTCAACTGCATCGGAAATGAGATGGCTTCATAATCATCCAAAACTCAGAACCTCTTCGGTCGGCAGTATTAAAAAGAGGCTCAGAAGGGCCAGAGTGTTCACAGGAGGGCTTCAATTTTTTCCTTTTAATTACATGCACTGAAGTTGAGGTTATAAGTAATTGGTCAGCTAGAACCAGTAAGGGGCCTCATTCATAGTTCAGAAGAGATCATATTAAGAATCATTTTTTTAAAAGAATTTAGTAGACATTAAAAATCTATGTCAAGTTAGCTTTCCTGTCTTCTCCACAGCTTCAAATTAGGAAATAAAGCAGCATTCCAGTGTGGCGTGAAGGAGCCCAGGCTGCTCCGACAGCAGCCCAGAGGGTTTAAGTGATGGGGAGAAATGCCTTGTCCATCAAACCAGCCCTATATTTTAATAGTCTGTGTAAATGTAGCAGTCATCATGTTTAAATAAACACTAAGAAAGAATGTAGGAAGGAGAAGAGTGATTTACAAAAAAGCATGAAGTTTGGTAAAGAGGCAGTCTAGGGAAGAAGAATTAAGGAGGCGGGGACATTGTTGGTCAGACTTCCTGTCTGCCATGGGCTGAACGCATGCAGTCGCCTTGGCACTGAGCTTTAACAGGACCCAGGGCCCAGGACCCAGGGCGGGGCTGTACCAGGCTCTTAGCCCACGTACCCCGTAGAGTCGCCATTTTAAAACAGTACTAATCATGAGAGGAGCTAAACAGTGTTAAGCATTACGCTGTGTCAGGCACTTCACATGATAAAGCTAATCCTAGCCACCACCCTCTCAGGTAGGTATTTTTATTCATCTGATTTGGAAGCGACAACATTCAGCAAGGTTGCGTAGCTTTGCCACGGTTGCCGGTGGTGGTGGTGGAGCAGCCCTCCCTCTAACAGCTCCGTCTGTCCGTGTCCAGAGGCGGCTTAGATCCTCGGGCTCAGGGCGCCTGGCTCACAGGGCCGACGGCGCCCGGAGGCCCTTAGCGTTTCCGTGGCCGCGCTGCCGACGGGGAGGCACAGCCTGAGACAGGCCTTTGGCATCTTCTCCTCTACAACAAGTAGAGGAGGTGGCCTCTGCCAGTACTGCCTTATATTTGGGCCAATATGGTAATTAGAATCATGCTGTTAGAATATTCAGCTAGGGATTTTCAGATAAAAATGAAGAATTTTAAATAAACTCCAGAACCTGATTTTTACTGCCTTGAGATCATGTTCCGAGAAAAAGTAGCGTTGCCCTTAGAGACGTCTGACAGTCAGCCTAAGTGTGCAGATGAACAGGGGTTTATCCTGCATCGAGATGGGCTAGATGACCTAATAGGTCTTTCTTTTTTTCTCTCTAAATTTCTAGGATTCTCATGATTTGAATATTGATGAACTCTTTGACTTGAACATTTTGTTTCTTCTAATTGTTCATCTTTTCCTGATAATTATAAGGTACACCAGGAGGATGGAATCAACTGTACCCTTTATAAAAGGTGGATTTTTGAAACCATAGACCTTATTTTGTTTTAGTCAAACATGATCCTAGACTTCTCTCTTCTGACTTCTCCCTCCTCCTTTAAAACAGCCCGTGAAAAGAAAAGTTAACTTTTAAATGTTCTTTTAATTCTGTTCAGTTGGCTTGTTCTTGTTCCTAGTAGACAAAAATTGGAGTCCTCCAATGGAGAATTCAGGGTGTAGAGGTGGGATGGTGTGGGAACTAGCTTAGCAGCTCAGACAGCCACCATCAGACGCTCTGGGTTTGGAAATGTGTGGGTTCTTAATAAACATTACCTAATGATGACAGCAGGACAGTGAATTTAACATGAATAATTTAAGAAGATTCTCGGTGGCTGATGGGTCTTAATTTCCAAATAGACCTGTCGTTCCCTCCTGTCCGGTTTTCCAGTGGGTGAAGAGAAGGAGAAAATGTTACAGTGTTAGTGCTTTGCAGTATTTTTACTAAGTAGTTAAATAAGCATAAACATATAAGCTGGTTTGAACAAAAGACACAGTTCTTGTATGTAACATTTTCATGTTAATTCAGATATCCGGGTGGATTGTTAGAAAAGACTAATTTGTTGCACATAGTTTTTCATCGAATGTGGACATGTGAACACTGAAAAGGTCTGCTCTGGCTCTAGAGCATCTGTGCCCGTCTTCCTGTCTAGATGTCTGATATGCCAAAGCCTGCTTTCATGAAGCAGAACCTGGGTGCACTCGGAATCGGGACCTACCACAACATCGCCTTCATACACCCAGACACTCCCATCATTAAAGCCTTGAACGTCTTCGTGGAAAGACGAGTGTCAGCCTTGCCTGTTGTGGACGAGTCAGGTCTGTGTGCTGAGCCATACCAGTTGAACAGAAACAACGGTTTATCTCCTTAGGGTAAAACTATTGTTAAATGACCTGGCATATCAGATAAGTGGGGAAATGAAAACTTAGACCAAGGAGTACTCAGGAGAATAAGAATTTTATACTGGCTTATTTTCACATTTTCCATTAAGATATGATTTCATGTCCCTTTTAAAATAGTCAGGTTTATTTTGTTTAGCAATATTTAATTCTTAGTGAATATCTAGTTAAGATTGATATTAAATGCTGTTTTTTGTTTCTAAGATATTATTCTAACATACATTTTTATTTTTAGGAAAAGTTGTAGATATTTATTCCAAATTTGATGTAATTGTAAGTATTTTTAATTTTGTTAAACCTGTCATCTAGAATGCATTTAAAGCATATTCATTAGTCTGTTTTTTGTGACTTTTCCTATTTTAACAATTCCTAGCTTCTTTGAGGATGAGGACCTTATCAGAGAATTCCATAGACTCCCCAACAGTAATTGTACTTTTAATATTCATTGGTTTAGCAGTGAATAACATATTAGTAGCATTTTATTTTTTTAACTTTTTATTTTATATTGGAATATAGCCGATTAACAATGTTGTGACAGCTTCAGATGCACAGCAAAGTGACTTGGCCATACATATACATGTATCCATTCTCCCCCAGACTCTCCTCCCATCCAGGCTGCCACATAACATTGAGCAGAGTTCCCTCTGCTATACAGTAGGTCCTTGTTGGTTATCCTTTTCAAATATAACAGTGTGTACTTGTCAATCCCCAAATCCCTAACTATCCCTTCCCTCCACCTTGCCCCTGCCCCGGAACCATAAGTTCATTCTCTAAGTCTGTGAGTCCGTTTCTGTTTTGAAAGTACATTCATTTGTATCATTTCTTTTTAGATTCCCCATATAAGCGGTATCATCCGATATTTCTCTTTCTCTGACTTACTTCACTCAGCATGACAATCTCTAGGTCCATCCATGTTGCTGCAATGGCATTATTTCATTCTTTTTTATGGCTGAGAAATATTCCATTGTATGTATGTACCACGTCTTCTTTATCCATTCCTCTGTCGATGGACATTTAGGTTGCTTCCATGTCTTGGCTATTGTAAACAGTGCTGCAATGAACATTGGGGTGCATGTATCCTTTTGGACCATGTTTTTCTCCGGATATATGCCCAGGAGTGGGATTGCAGGGTTGTAATGGTAGCTCTATTTTTAGTTTTTTAAGGACCCTCCATACTGTTCTCCATAGTGGCTGCACCAATTTACATTCCCACCAACAGTGTAGGAGGGTTCCCTTCTCTCCACACCCTCTCCAGCATTTACTGTTTGTGGATTTTTTGATGATGGCCATTCTGACTGGTGTGAGGTGATACCTCATTTTAGTTTTGATTTGTATTTCTCTAATCATTAGCGATGGTGACCATCTTTTCCATGTGCCTCTTTGCCCGTCTGTATGTCTTCCTTGGAAAAATGTCTATTTGGGTCTTATGCTTTTTTTTTTTTTGCTGTACACGGGCCTCTCACTGTTGTGGCCTCTCCGGTTGCGGAGCACAGGCTCCGGACGCGCAGGCTCAGCAGCCATGGCTCATGGGCCCAGCCACTCCGTGGCGTGTGGGGTCTTCCCGGACCGAGGCACGAACCCGTGTCCCCTGCATCAGCAGGTGGATTCTCAACCACTGCGCCACCAGGGAAGCCCCTTATGCCCATTTTTTGATTGGGTTGTTTGTTTTGATATTAAGCCACATGAGCTGTTTGTAAATTTTGGAGACTAAATCCCTTGTCGGTCTCATCATTTGAAAACATTTTCTTCCAATCTGTGGGTTGTCTTTTCGTTTTATGGTTTCCTTTGCTGTGCAAAAGCTTTTGACTTTAATTAGGTCCCATTTGTTTATTTTTGTTTTTATTTCCATTATTCTGGGAGACGGATGGGAAAACATATTGCTGCAATTTATGTCAGAGAGTGTTCTGCCTATGTTTTCCTCTAAGAGTTTTATAGTGTCTGGTCTCACATTTAGGTTTTTAATCCATTTTGAGCTTATTTTTGTGTATGGTGTTAAAGAATCATCTAATTTCATTTTTTTACATGTAGCTATCCAGTTTTCCCAGTACCATTTGTTGAAGAGACTGCCTTTCCACCACTGTATAGTCTTGCCTCCTTTGTCTTAGGTTAATTAACCATAGGTGCGTGGGTTCATTTCTGGGCTTTCTATCCTGTTCCATTGATCTACAGTTCTGTTTTTGTGCCACTACCATACTGTTTTGATGACTACAGCTTTGTAGTATAGTCTGAAGTCAGGCAGCCTGATTTCTCCAGCTCCATTTTTCTTTCTCAAGATTGCTTTGGCTATTTGGGGTCTTTTGTATCTCCATACAAATTTTAAGATTTTTTTTGTTCCAGTTCTGTGAAAAATTCCATTGGTAATATGATAGGGATTGCACTGAATCTGTAGACTGCCTTGGGTAGTATAGTCATTTTGACAATATTTATTCCATTCCAAGAACATGGTATATCTTTCCATCTGTTTGTGTCTTCTCCAGCTTCTTTCATCGGCATCTTATAGTTTTGGAGTACAGGTCTTATGTCTCCTTAGGTAGGTTTATTCCTAGGTATTTTATTCTTTTTGATGCAGTGGTAAATGGGATTGTTTCTTGAATTTCTCTTTCTGATCTTTCATTGTTAGTGTGTAGAAATGCAGCAGGTGTCTGTGTATTAATTTTGTAGCCTGCAACTTTACCAAATTCATTGATGAGCTCTATAGTTTTCTGGTAGCGTCTTTAGAATTTTCTGTGTATACTATCATGTCATCTGCAAACAGTGATTTGGATTCCTTTTATTTCTTCTTCTTCTCTGCCGTAGCTAGGACTTCCAAAACTGTGTTGAATAAAAGTGGTGAGAGTGGGCATCCTTGTCTTGTTCCTGATCTTAGAAGAAATGCTTTCAGCTTTTCACCCTTGAGTATGATGCTAGCTGTAGGTTTGTCATATATGGCCTTTACTATGTTGAGGTAGGTTCCCTCTATGCCCACTTTCTGGAGAGTTTTTATCATAAATCGGTGTTAAATTTTGTCAAAAGCTTTTTCTGCATCTATTGAGATGATCATAGGTTTTTATTCTTCAATTTGTTGATATGGTGTATCACACTGATTGATTTGTGGATTCTGAGAAATCCTTGATCATGGTGTGTGATCCTTTTAATGTATTGTTGGATTCAAATTGCTAGTATTTTGTTGAGGATTTTGCTTCTATGTTCATCAGTGATATTGGCCGGTAATTTTCTTTTTTAGTGGTATCTTTGTCTGGTTTTGGTATTAGGGTGATGGTGGCCTCATAGAATGAGTTTGGGAGTTTTCCTTCCTCTGCAATTTTCTGGAACAGTTTCTAAAGGATAGGTGTTAGCTGTTTTCTAAATGTCTGATAGAATTCACCTGTGAAGCCATCAGGTCCTGCCCTTTTGTTTGTGGGTTTTTAATTACAGTTTCAATTTCAATGCTTGTGATTGGTCTGCTCATATTTTCTGACTCTTCCTGGTTCAGTCCTGGGAGACTGTACCTTTCCATATTAGTAGCATTTTATAATTCTTTGTCTTTTCAGTACATGAGTCACTTATCCGTTACTACAGCATGTGTATGTGTTAAATAGTCATGTTTCTATACCAGAGACATTGATTCATTCTGCCAACAGGCATGTGCTTAGTGCGCAGGTGGATTCCTGGTCACCCACATCCCACTACTTGCTAATTGGGAACAACTGTTCTAAAGAGGACAGCAAATGGCATTATGTAAAGTTCTGTTTTTTATTCCCTGGTTTAAATTTACTAGATTGATTTTGGTCCTACATCCTTCCACTCGATACTTTTCCCCCATTCATTTAAATTCATTTCCTTAAGAGTTTTACATGATTTCTAAGAAAGGGAACTGAAACTTTGATAGCCCCAAACCTGCATACCGTTTTTTTGCCTTAATATTGACCATAGCATTAAGTATTCTTTTGTAGCTGTCTCAGACCCTTTTGTTTCATCTTATTCTGTTTAATATAACAGACACCAAAAAAATAGGCTTATTGGAATTTGGTTGGGTGGGACCCTGTAAGGTTAATCAGAACCTTGAGCAGCCATTCCGATCTACAGGGCTTCCTCCGTGATCACCCCCGCAAAGCCTTTCTAGCAAAAGCCTTGTTCCCTAGCCCTGGGGACTTCTCACCCTTTGCAGGTGTTACTCCACCTCTCAAAACACTGTTCATTCAGGGAACATAGGGTAAAAGTGGGGGGATAAATTAGGAGTTTAGGACTAACAGATACAAACTACTGTATATAAAATAAACAACAAGGCCCTACTGTATAGCACAGGGAACTATATTCAATATCTTATAGTAACCTATAATAAAAATATATATATATAAATAAGTCACTTTGCTGTACAACAGCAACTAACACTACATTGTAAATCAACTATACTTCAATTTTAAAAAAAAAAAGAACCGATAGGGTAAGGATAGGGGAATCTTCTGTAGGACATACAGTCAGAATTTAACCGTTTTAAATGGTTGCTTCATAATAAAGGTACACCTTATAAGCTTTAAATGATTATTGATAAGATGATGAAATAACAGTACTGATGGCATGTCATAAGCTGGTACAGTGGTACTAAGTTATGATAAACATTAATGTTTTTAAGGAACAGGCTGCTTTGAACTAACTTTGGTCATTAAATGTGAATTGAAATGAAGGATATAACTCACTGTTACTTTATTATAGAACCTTGCTGCTGAAAAAACATACAACAACCTAGACATCACAGTGACCCAGGCCCTGCAGCACCGGTCACAGTATTTCGAAGGCGTAGTGAAGTGCAGTAAGCTGGAAGTACTGGAGACCATCGTGGACAGAATAGTGAGAGCCGAGGTAAAGTGGCTGCATCCAGGTCCCTCCCCACCTCCCCGTCTGCCATGAGTACCTAACTAGGAAACAGTGCCCCAGGAATTCTGAGTCACAGGACCAGCCCGTGAGGCAGCCTTCCAGTCCAGTCCCGTGACACAGTCTCCCTGCTCCAGAACCTAGCACATGTCTTGGCACATAGTAGGTCATCTGTGAATGTTCACTGAATTGAATTTCATTTATAAGTCCTGACATCATAGCTGAATCAAATAAAGATACTTTCATGGTTTTAAAACATACTTGAGAAAACAAAAGTCCCAAGAGCTTTAAGTTTCATTAGAGTATTGATGAATTTAAAGCTAAAAATGTGTAATTATGTGGTCTTAACAAGTAAGTCAATAAAATGTATTCTGGTCTTTTTTTTTTAAGTTAGACACCCTGCTCCGTCCTTAGCAGAGCTGACTCCCCAAGCTTCAGCTGCCATGGCTTTTACCCTGTTTCACTAGTCTCAACACGAAGTTTTTTCTACTTGAATTTAACATCCATTACTAGTTTTCCAGAGGGTTCTAATTGACTTAGGAATACATCTAAGGTTTTTATTGTTCTTTTGTATATGCCTTTTGAAGATCATAAGCAGAAATAGGTAAGACATTCCTGCCTGATTTTAAGGACAATGGACCACATCCATCTGATGGAATCCTTTATAACAATTAAAAATCATGTTTAAGGAGAATACTGTTGATATGGAAAAATAATATATTGCTAAGAGAAAGGCCAGTTACTATATATAGTGTGATGCTTCGTGTTAACATAAGTGCACGTGCATAGAAAAGAGACTAGAAAGACTCGCACCTCAGTATTAACACGGCTGTTTCTGTGGAGAACGCCAGCACGCCTTCGTGTTCCCAAGACCTCTGTTTGAGCGCGTGCTACTGTCAGGTAGGAGAAGAAAGTGATTGGCTTGTCCTGGAAGTCCATCTGGTGAGCCGCACAAACTTTAATATGAAAATAGGTTATTGAGGGAAATACAGGTGTAATTAAAGTTTTCTCAAGTTACCCACCTTGACTTTTTTCGTCATTAATTTTTTTCACCATATGACTCCTTGTTGGGGGACAAACCAGTTTTTAGCTTCAACGTGTGTGTGTGTGTGTGTGTGTGTGTGTATACACACACACATACATACACACATATATACACATACACATATACACACATACATATATGCGCACACATACATATATGCACACATACACATATATGCACACATATACGCATATATACACACATATTTTATATATATATATAGTATATTTGTGGCTGCACTGAGCAGCTTGTGGGATCTTAGTTCCCCAACCAAGGACTGAACCCAGGCCCTCGGCAGTTTAAGCACAGAATCCTAACCAGTGGACCGCCAGGGAATTCCCAGCTTCAACATATTTTGTTAGGAGAAGGGTATACAGTATCAGCGATGATTTGGTTTATTTATATGACAAATATCACACTAGCTTTTAGAAAAGAAACATTCATAAGTTTAGACTCAGCAACAGATGATAATATTTTTGGTGGTCATTTCTGTCTGACAGAACTAATTCTAAGTGAAATGGTTTCCCCTTGACCTTTAGTAGTTCAAAAGATAGTTATTTATCATTATTAAATGTTAACAACAAAATGTGTCTAGTATAGAATATATAGCATTCTCTGGCCCTAGATGTAAATCAACTTATGATTAAATAGATAACTGTGTTATATCACAGGGTTATTGAAGAACATAACTTTTTCTAGAGAAGCTTTTGAAAGAAATTTATGTTGATTAGCATGAGAAAGATGACAAAGTGATTTCTCTTTTAACCTAAAAGCAAGCTATGATGTCAAAAGCATCACCGGCACAGTATCATTAGAGACGAACTATAAAAATGATTTCCCCGCTTCTCCCATCTCCCTCCTGTGCCACCCATTCTGTACCAGCAGGTTTTAACTGTTCAGTGTGGAGAAGAGGATCTCCAGGGTAACCGACTGGCATGTGGTTGCCTCAAGCCTAAATTCTAAAGCTTTTAAATCAGAGGAGCATGATGCTCTCTCCCTCCTTTCCTGTTTTAAGGACACTTTGCTATAGTAATACCTCAGAACATTGTCCACTCACTTATAAAAGACTTTCAAGTAGAAAACAAGATGTGAATGTAATTTATTTCACTTGATCATAGTTGATCATCCTCTGTTATTCTTAATATATGAACTTCATAGAGAAAAGGGAAAATATAAGAGCAGTGACCTTTTATTTAGTTTCACTGCTTATTTGGACTTCTCTCCCAGGTAAAAACAGTTATCTGATAGTTAATAGAAACGGAGATACAACTTTTAAAAATTAAAAACCGTTTTAGAGATTAGAGCCACATGAAGCAGCTACTGTGATACTTCATGTTTTGAATTTATCTTTCATATATTAATATTTTGAAAATAGAAAACTCAGCAGGACATATCTGGCTAATTTTTCTTAAAAGTAGTCAAGCAAATCAGCATTGCATTTTAACAGAGCCAAGACCATTGCATGGCTCTGTGCACTGTTACTTTCTCTCATTTGTGGGATCTGTTCATTGTATAGCACATGAAAGACTTTTTTTCTAACGTCCATTTTAAACCTTTACTTATTTCAACTTTCACACGTGGCCTCCTTTCCTCTTGTCTGCAGGTCCATCGGCTGGTGGTAGTAAACGAAACAGACAGTATCGTGGGTATTATTTCCCTGTCGGATATTCTGCAAGCCCTGATACTCACCCCTGCAGGTATAAATGCCAGTGTCTGACCTTTACTGTAAGTGCGCAGGGAGCCGGGGCAGGGGCGGGGATGCGGGGCAGCAAGCCCTCCCTCGCCCACCTGCCAGCCTCACCTTTCTATGCAGTACTTTGTAAACCATTTTCATTTTCTTTGTGGTTTTGAAAAGCTTATAGAAAGTATTCTGACTTAAGAGCATCCTGTCGACACCCAGAAGTGCTTAAGTCATCGAGGATTCATTGCCACGATCGTCATAACCTTGCCCATTAAAAAGTGAAGATCTCCTCAGTTTTGCTTTATGTTTAGGACTACTAACTGGAAATCAGGAGGGAAATTCTTTGGGACCTAAGTATTGAAACCATCTACCCTTCAAAAAGAAAAAAAAAGCTTACTAGTAGTGAGTATATAAAAGTTTGACCTATGCAAACTTTTTTCCATTAATAGTGTATGGAAATTACGTTAACTGCCAAACATTGGTGACTAAACTCATTTTCTGCCAGATTAACTCTCAGCAAACCCTCAGGTCACAGTCAGGGAGCCCGTGAGGCAGGGGGAGGGAGGGGCCTTTGGTGTTTCTCCTGTGTCACACAGTTTAATCGTTTAATGGCTGAAGGGGTCCTAAAACCACCAGCCCTCCACTTCCCCTCCCCACCCACACGAAGTACAGACAACCCAGCCTCAGGCCTCACAGATCAAGGCCAAGACAGGAGACTAAACCATGTGCCCTTTGAACTCTCAGAAGTTAAACATTAAAATGTGCCTTTACTAGGGTATTCATTTTTCTTTAGTTCAGAAATCAATCACACTGGCTAAGACTAGTTTTTACAGTTGGCCTATAGCCTGGAGATACCCACCTGAAAAGGAATCCCCATCACCAGGGAGAAACAGATCGCACTGATTAAGTGAGAAGGACAGGGGCGTGATTGGGGGGGGGGGGGGCGGTGACTCCCAGCAGGCTGTAGAGGAGCAGCAGCTGGACATTGTTAGAAACGCACAGGTGGGGCCCAGCCCATGTCTGCTGAGTCAGAAACTCTAGACACGGGGCTTGTTGCAGTCATTTTCAAATGTCAGATACGTGAGAACCTGAAACTCATGGTAACCTCTTTTTAATCATTACATAAGTTTTAGTACAGCGTTCGAGTTCAACATGTGTGCACACTACAGAGTGATCACCCCCCAAGACCAGCTATCATCCACCACCATACAGCTGAGCCTCTCACCCACTGCAGCCACCCCCACCCCCTTCCCTTCTGGTAACCACTGCTGTGTTCTCCACGTTCTTCTGTTGTCTTTGTTCATCAGTTTTGGCTTGGGTCTTTTTAGATTCCACATATGAATGAAACCATATGGTATTTATCTTTCTCTGTCTTGATTTATTTCACTTAGAAATAAGTGAGAGATCTATCCATGTTGTCAAAAATGGCAGGATTTCATTTTTGTTTTTTTTATGGCTCATGATAATCTCTGTAGTCATGAGAAAAGGACTAAAAGATGTGAGACTGTTCACAGCATTACTTGTAATAACCTCAAACTGGAAATAACCCAAATATCTTTGAGCAGAAGAACGGACAGACTGCATTCTGTCCATTAGTGGAATGCATTGATGGTGAACACACATAGCTGTATCGGACAGTGGATGAACCCCACAGACGAAACAGAGCAAGGAAGCAGGACCAATGCAAAGAGTGGGATTGCATTTATATACAGTTGATCCTTGAACAACATGGGTCCACTTATACGTGAATTTTTTTCAATAGTAGATACTGCAGTGCTACACAGTCCACGGTTGGTTGAATCCACAGACACCGAACTGCGGATATGGAGGGGAATCGTGGATACAAAGGATAAGTTGTGGGTAGCGCCCCAGTGTTGTTCAAGGGTCAGCTGTGCAGCTCCTCTGTGCATGTTAGGAAAAGGACTCATCTCCAGGCAGGCTCATCCCCACAGGCACGTAACTTGGCACCTTCAGAAAAAGATGCCCCTTTTCTAGTCAGCTGGCCCTGGGCCAAGGCACACAGCTTGCCGGGCTGAGTCAGGCCAAATGTCAACTCGCTTCTGTCCCCGTGGCCAAGATTCTTTGTGCATTACCAATTCAGAGTAAGCAATTCTTTATCCTCTCTATGTCTTGGTGTCACAAACCGTAAGAATGAGAATGTTCGCCTGGATGAGTTTAAATTTCCATCCAAATTTGATATTTCAAAAATTCTAAATTATTAATGCAAGTCAGCATGAATGAAAATGCAAAGAGGAAACCTGTTCCACGGCTGGATTTGGAATGTTTGTTACCACACAAATAAATATTGTAAAGACAGGGATAGTCGAATTAGAATTCTTTGTAGCACGGTGTGTATAACGCTGTTCATTTAGGAAAATCCCCTGTATTCCTAATAACTGGATTACCGGTGAACACCGGGAGCAGCGCTGTCTTGGAAGAGAGGGAGCGCCTCCATCAGAACAGACGCTAGCATACTCGGGTGACCGTGTGGTGCGAGCATCAGACTAGAGGTCCAGCCTGGGCAGTCCAACCCCACTGTCCCCTCGGAGCTGTGTGAGTGTGGGCCAGCTTGCTGCTCACCTGTGCAGCCTCCGTCCCTCCCTTCAGCTACAGGATGAGCAGCCTGACACAGGCCTAGTGGCCCTCCAGAGATACTCTGATTGAAACCACAGCCATGTGTGAACGCTGTGCGCCGTCAGACCCCATACCCAGGACAAGCCCCATACCTGGACAAGCCCTGCTGAGTGGATGTTTATGGAATAATCAGTAAGAGATGCTTTTTAAAAGAATCCACTATTATGTGAATAAAAGGTACCGGTGGTTATTCTTTTCACCAGATAATGGACACAATTCCCCATTAAGGATACTGATTTGATATAATAACATCTTCTCTTTTTTAAAAAGTTTTTAGCAGTAGTTCACTGTCCAACTTAATTCAGACTCTCCAAACAAACCTAAGTATCCACACGTGCAGCTAGTGAGTAAGCAGCCTGATGGCAGTAACTACAATTTTAGCCCCTTATTTTTATAGAGTGTTGATCTCTTTCAAAGTTGAGTGTCTTCTAGTGTCTGATGAGAAAATACAGAATCTGTTGTAATGAAAAAAATGGCAGCTCCCCCTCCCAACCCATTTCAAAATATCCTGGCAAGCTGAGAATAGGTTTTATGTGCAGTTACTGTAAGCATGTTTAATGCTTTTACATTTTTATAAGTATGTACAACAGAAATACTTTGCACCTTCGCTAAAACTTAAATACATATTTCTTTTAAAAACTTTTAGCAGCAGAACCCTCTTCTTTTCCAAATTAAACCTTGCATATTTAGAATTATGATATGCAGGGAATTCCCTGATGGTCCAGTGGTTAGGACTTCGTGCTTCCACTGCCGTGGCCCAAGTTCAATCTCTGGTCCGGGAACTAAGATCCCTCAAGCCTTGTGGCATGGCCAGAAGGAAAAAAAAAAAAAAGAGTGCTAGAATTACGATATGCAAAATGGATTAAAAGCGTGCTGCAGTGATGGCAGGTGGGGATGGGGAGCCTGGAGCTCACCTGCTCATTCCCCACGTCTCCTAAGGCTCTGCAGGTGCGGGTAGGTGTCACCAGGCAGAGAACCACCACTGCGCTCATATAGGACATGCACAGCTGCAACGTATTTTTATATGGCTTTGAAACTTTCCTTTCCCATCTCCTAATAGGTGCCAAGCAGAAGGAGACAGAAACCGAATGACAACCGTGAGTGGAGGAGCCCTTGCAGGAGAACTTGAACAAAGATGCTGGGTCACGCTTTGCCTCATGAACACTGACTGCGATAGAACAGAGTCCAATGGCTGAGAATGTGTATCAGGGTTTAGTGATGGGTGTTTTTTCCAGTGATGTTGAAACTAAGCATAAAAAAGAAAGATTTTGTGTTTGAAGATGCGAGCTTGCATTAAAAGACTCTTTTCAGACCGCTGTCTGAAAGATTTCAGATGCTGTATGTCATTAAAGTGCACTGTGTCCTGAATTTCTATTATTTTTCATTTTAAAGAATTCACTGGTATCTAACAGGTAATATGACATAAGGCGAGTGTGTGGCATATTGAGATCTAGTGCCTTATGTCAGAACAGCGATATGTCATCACTACTGCCCATCGCAGCTGGAGCGTCCTTGTGAACTGACACTGCTGGAGTGTGAACGTCTGAACCTTTACCAAATCAGTTTGTTTTCATTAGATTTGTTGAATAGCTGTAATTTGAATATAAATAATTACTTTATAAAACTTTAATGATGGTTTTATGTGTTAGTGTTCTGTTCTGAACTATAGTGTAAACAAGGCTGATTTACAACAGCTTTATTTATTTTTACTTTCATGCAATTTTTTACACATCCTTTGGTGGGTAAACTTCACCGTACCCATTAATAAACCATTGGTTGCTATTTTAAAAGGGCGAAATTCTCATTAAGTTTGATCTGGAAAGGGTATGACTTCTCTAATAGCCGCTGTTAGGTTTTAAAAGCTGAAGTTTCTAACAGCATTTGTGGGAACCTCTCTGTGGGGCTGCAAACAAAGTGCCGGGAAGATGTCTATTTTTTCTTGTGTTTTGACATGAAAATCATGACGTTTGTGTGATTGCTGATGCGATTGTTTTGTAAATTTTACTGTGGCATATACAGTATTGTCATATGGTGAGGAGAAACACAATGTTTCCTAATGTAAGTGCTCTGAAAATGTTGACACTATATATATATATACATATATCTGTGTGTGTGTGTGTGTGTGTGTGTGTGTGTGTGTGTGAGTATAGTTTGGTTTTTTGTTTTGGGGGGTTTTTTTGCAGATTGAAAAATTAAAATAAATCTTACTATCTGCCATCTTGTTACAGAAGTTCTTTAAAATACTTTGTATTTCAGCACATTTCTTTTTTTAACATCTTTGAGTATAACTGCTTTACAATGGTGTGTTAGTTTCTGCTTTATAACGAAGTGAATCAGCTATACGTAAAAATATATCCCCATTTCTCCTCCCTCTTGCGTCTCCCTCCCACCCTCCCTATCCCACCCCTCTAGGTGGTCACAAAGCACTGAGCTGATCTCCCTGTCAGCACATATTAATTAAAATTCTACATGCAGTTTCCCACTTAGATATTTCTCCCCAAATAAAGGAGAACATGAATTCTCATATTCTTTTTTACATCAACAGAAAAAAACCTTAATGATTTGATTCATAAACTTTCTCCATTATTAAATAGAACATATTTAATTAAAAATGGCCATGCAGATTTTCTTGTGCTAGGTGTCAATTTTTTCATCTCCTAGTAGGCCAAATATGAGAGGAGATTTTTGTCTATGTTTTCCCCATAGAAATAGTAGTGGTTGTGACTTAGGCTAATGGTAATACTTGGAGAACAATGAAATATCAGAAAGAGAAAGTTTTTAAAAACCCCTTTTAAAACTCTGTCCAAAAAAAACCCCACAAATACCTAGGAATGAACCTGACCAAGGAGGTGAAAGACATATGCTGAGAACTATAAAACACTGATAAAGGAAACTGAAGATTATTCAAAGAAATGGAAATACATCCCATGCTCTTAGACTGAAAGAATATTATTAAAATGGCCTTATTACCCAAAGCAATCTACAGATTTAATGCAATCTCTATCAAATTACCATGACATTGTTTTACAGAACTAGAATAATCCTAAAATTTATATGGAACCACAAAAGACCCAGAATTGCCAAAGCAATACTAAGGAAAAAGAACAAAGCTGGAGGCATAACCCTCCCAGACTCCAGACAATACTACAAAGCTACAGTAATCAAAAGAGCATCGTATTGGCACAAAAACAGACATATGGATCAATGGAACAGAATAGAGAGCCCAGAATTAAACCCACACACCTACGGCCAATTAATCTTCAACAAAGGAGGCAAAAACACATAACGTAGAAAAGAAAGACTCTTCAGCAAGTGGTGTTGGGAAAGCTGGACAGCTGCATGTAAATCAATGAAGTTAGAACACTCCCTCACACCATACTCAAAAATAAACTCAAAAATGGCTTAAAGACTTAAATATAAGACATGACACCATAAAATTCCTAGAAGAGAACATAGGCAAAACATTCTCTGACATTAATTGTAACGATGTTTTCTTAGGTCAGTCTTCCAAGGCAAAAGAAATAAAAGCAAAAATAAATGGGACCTAATCAAACTTACAAGCTTTTGCACAGCAAAGGAAACCACAAACAAAAATGAAAACCTATGAAATGGGAGAAAATATTTACGAACAATGTGATCAACAAAAGCTTAATTTCCAAAATACACAAACAGCTCATACAGCTCAATATCAAAAAAACAACCCAATCAAAAAATGGGCAGAAGACCTAAATAGACATTTCTCCAAAGAAGATACACAGATGGCCAACAGATGCATGAAAAGATGCTCAACATCGCTAATGATTAGAGAAATGCAAATCAAAACTACAATGAGGTATCACCTCACACCAGTCAGAATGGCCATCATCAAAAAATCTACAAATAATAAATGCTGGAGAGGGTGTGGAGAAAAGGGAACCCTCCTACACCGTTGGTGGGAATGCAAATCGGTGCAGCCACTATGGAGAACAGTATGGAGGGTCCTTAAATAAAAACAGGGTTGCCATATAATCGTGCAATCCCACTCCTGGTCATATATCCAAAAAGACAAAAACTAATCCGAAAAGATACATGCACCCCTTATGTTCATAGCAGCACTATTTATAATAGCCAAGATATGGAAGTAAGTGTCCATCAACAGATGAATATACAAAGAAGATGTGGTACATATATACAATGGAATATTACTCAGCAATAAGAAAGAATGAAATAATGCCGTTTGCAGCAACATGGATGGACCTAGAGATTATCATACTAAGTGAAGTCAGAGACAAATTATATGATATCACATATGTGGAATCTAAAAAAGTGATACAAATGAACTTATTTACAAAACAAATAGATTTACATAGAAAACAAACTTATGGTTAACAAAGGGTAAAGTGGGGGGCGGGGTAAGTTAGGAGTTTGGGGTTAACAGATACACACTACTATATATAAAACAGGGCATCCCTGGTGGCGCAGTGGTTAAGAATCCGCCTGCCAACGCAGGCGACACAGATTCAAGCCCTGGTCCGGCAAGAGCAACTAAGCCCGTGCGCCACAACTACTGAGCCTGCGCTTTAGAGCCCGCGAGCCACAACTACTGAAGCCCGCACGCCTAGAGCCCGTGCTCCGCAACAAAAGAGCCCACGGCAATGAGAAGCCTGCGCACCGCAACGAAGAGTAGCCCCCGCTCGCCGCAACTAGAGAAAGCCCGCGTGCAGCAACGAAGACCCAACACAGCGAAAAATAATAATAAAATAGATAAAACAAGGACTTACTGTATAGCACAGAGAACTATATTCAATATCTTGTAATAATCTATAGTGGAAAATAAACAGAAAAAGAATATATGTATATACACATATGAATCACTTTGCTGCACACCTGAAACTAACACAACATTGTAAATCAACTATACCTCAATTTAAAAAAGAAAAAAATACTTGGGAAAAGTAAAAAATCTCAAAGCTGCTAAAATAACAGTTTTTAAACTCAAAGTATCTATTGTCACTCCGCCCCTTGCTTGTGTAGCATACGGGAGCGTGCACAGACTATGCACGGTGTGAAGGAGGCATGCTGTGTGTCTTCTGCTTCAGAAGACAGCTGGGAGCCACTTAACGAAGAACCACGTCAGCACTGTCTCCTCCCACGACGCACACACATGTCCTGCAAGCCTCTGACCATCCCCCAAGCGTACCTTTTTGTTTGTTTGTTTAAGGGTTTTGAGTTGTGTGGGCAGGTCAAGCACATCAGGGTGTGGAGCAGATGTGTTACACACAGTGGCCTAAGTGAAGCAACCAAGTCTACTGGTCAGGCTACAACTAACGAAGATCCATCATCCTTCTGTTTCCACCTAAGAGTTATTTGTTCCCAGCAAATGATCAAGACTGGGTTACAGAAAACGTGCTTCTCCGTGCCCCTCTAGGAATAAGGAAAAGTGGCACTTGAAGGCCAAGTGAAGGAAGGATTCTAAGGGGAAACGTCTAAACAATTTGAGAGAGAGAACTCACTTTGGAAACCCTTGCAGGACAAGCCTCAAGTGTTTGTAGCGCCCTCATCACCCTGAGGCTCGCTAAGACCCAGCGGGCCATGGGTTCACTTAAGCGCCCACTGTGACTCTGGCCCTCACACTGACAGCACCTCCAAAGACTGTGAACAAAAGTGACGAATCTGAAAGGAAGAGCGTATCAGAAACACCACGTCTGTTCCAGAAATGGAGGGAATCTGTTCTGTATTCTAATCTCTGAGAAAAACTTATAGACGTATTGAGCCGATAACATTTCTCATAACATTTTTTTAGAGAAACATCTTTGCATGAAGAGACAGTCCTCTTAAACCACTGGTTCTCAATCTGGGGAGGTTCTGACCCTAGAGGACATTTGGCAAAGTGGAGACATTTTTGGTTGTCACCACTGGGGGTGGAGAGAGGGGCTGTGTGCTACTGACATGTGGTGGGTAGAGACCACAGGTGCCACAAAACTCACTACACTGCACAGGACGGCCCCCATGACAAAGAGTATCCAGCCCAAGATGTCTGTAGTGGTGAAGTTAGAAACTCTGCCCTAAACGATTAGAATCTTCTTGGTATTGTGATTGTATCTGTTACTTCCTAACTGAATCCACCTGTCTTTGGAAGAAAAACTCAGTGGGCAGCCTTTCTGGGAAAGGAGACAATTCAAATAATCCACAGGCCAATTCCATGGGTCCATATGACCCTCATCACAATCTCCTTCCAAAGCATTTTCACCAAAAAAGGGGCTTTTGCTTTGCTTAATAGCACTCTAAGGAGAAAACTGCTACCCACAGGGAAATACGTGGAAAGTCAATTTCACTCCGTTATTTTATTTTCATAAAGAAATCGAGAACAAACTCTAAATTGTTTCTCACGTAAAATCACCTACAACGCTGGCATAATTGTAAGTCCGTGTATGAAGCACACTTAAAACACCTTCACGAGAAACCACTGAAATTCCACCTCATTGTGGATCACCCCATCTTACTTCTTGTTCCAAACACACTGCATTAAAACTTACCTTTAGATGTCGACCTCAGCAAGGGCAGAGTACAAGTATTCAGCTCTCAAAGCAAACTGAGGTTCCTTCCTGCGGGGAAGCTGGAAGAAATTCAGGTGCCCAGTTCTCTCCAGAC